GTGGCGGCGCCCTTATATACCTGCGCTGGCACTTATGGCAACTCTAGAACATTCTGAAGTTTATCGCTCATTCTCTTTCTCTCGCTGTTCGCAGTGTTCATCCAACTTGACGTTTCTCTTTGTGGAACATTCTACGTCATTCTTCGAACATTCTGCCTATTTCTCGTTGTTCGCTTTGTGTTGCCGCAGTATTCGCCACAGTATTGTTTTTGGTTTTCTAATCTCTTAGTATATTTAGTTTATAAGTAAGTGAGTCTCCGACCTTGCTCTTCGCGGGATTTCAGCGTGTTGGAGTTTCAAGAAGGAAAACCGCTCACTATAAATACGACAAGAATTCTCAAATTATCAGTATAACCTGGCATCTTCATGGGTCTCTAAAAGAAGACTTGCCATTTCTTCTATTTTGATGCCATCTGGTATCTCTAAGCAAAAAAAAAAATCCCTATTTACATGAGGCGATTTTAGTTGAACGCAAATTGTTTGTTTTGATTTTTGAGATGAATTTAAATCCCGAAATTTTGCAAATTGGCATAGAAATAGTGAGCGCAGCAATAATAAAAGAGTTGCTTACGAACCTAAAAAGAAAATGCAAAAGAAAGAAACGCAAATGGATCGGCCGCCGTGAAGCCCTAGGTGCATCTAGCAATTTGTATAGGGAATTGGAGCACGAAGATGCGGATTTTTTCAAATTATGCTTACGCATGACAACTCAACAATTTGACTTTTTATTGGAAAAAGTGGCCCCACTAATTCAAAAGCAGGACACTATTATGCGTGAGGCTCTAACGCCAAGAATTAAATTGTTAATGGCCTTAAAGTTCTTGGCTACAGGCGACAATTATTTGAGCCTCTCTGAGGCTTTTAGGGTATCCAGGAGCTCTATATGTGTGCTACTGAAGGACGTTCTGGATGCGATATATGAAGTTTTGGAAGAATATATCCAGGTAAATCTACGGGTACGGGTTAGTTACTTGTACAACGATTTCTGTTTGCTGGGCCCAAACGCGTGACCCGAATCAAAAAGATTTTACTCACACTTGTAGACAAAGGTCTATGCTTTATGTAAAAAATAATAACTTAATATATTTGTGGACTGATTTGCTATATGGCTTCCAAATACCTCAAACTCATCAGGCATTTTGGAGTGAGATATGTTCTCCAATTTATTTACCGCCTGCAAAATGGGCTCCATATCCTGCGATTTGGACTTAACAGGTGTGACCTTTTTAGGCCTTCTCACTTGTGATCCTGATGGGTGATCATCAAAAAATCCTGCCTCACTTTCTCTGCTTTCCACCTACAATAAAAAAATTAAAAATTTAAATATAATAATATAATGTTTTAATTTAAGGTTCCTAGTACAATAGAACAATGGTCAAAAGTACAACAAGATTTTAAAAATAACTGGCAGTTCCCCTTCTGTTGCGGCGCTCTCGACGGGAAGCACGTAGTGATTGAGAATCCACCGCATGGATCATGGGATTTTTACAACTACAAAGGCACTTACAGCGTTGTGTTATTTGCCATCGTCGATGCACATTACCGCTTTTTGTACATAGATGTCGGTACAAATGGCCGTATGAATGATGCAAGCATTTTTAAAAAATCTAAATTTTGTAAATCGCTTCAAGAAGATGAGTTGGGTTTACCAAATAAAGGGGTTTTTATTGGTGATGATGCCTTCCCTTTAACAACCAGAATTTTGAAGCCTTATTCCAGGCATGACGCACTTTCTCGCAAGGAGAAAATTTTTCATTATAGACTGTCGCGAGCTAGGCGTATTGTGGAAAACGCGTTGGCATAATGGCGTCTCGCTTCAGGATATTTCGAAAGCCCATATCGGTGTCACTAGATAAAACGGACTCCATTATAAAAACGGCATGCGTTCTTCATAACTGGCTTCGAACAAGTAATATGAGTGCAGCTGGTTTAGTCGATGAAGAAGACACAACCACTGGAACAATTCGCCAAGGAAGTTGGAGGCGCATTCCATCAGGTGCCTTACTAGAAGTGAACACGCAACTTTGTTCGAATAACTACACCAAAAATGCAAAGGAGCTGCGCGACAAGTTCGCAAATTATTTTGTCGGCTCTGGAGCAGTTGCTTGGCAGGACAAAATGGTCCCTTGAACAATTTTTTTTTATGTACAAATACTATATATTTTTTCACATTAAAATGTTGTTTTGAAAAACCAACTTTAGTTTTTAGATTTTATTAAAATACAAAAAACCGTTACCATGTTGGTTTCCGTGGCCCTTCCTTCGCCTACAGGTTTTAAAAACCGTTCCGCCACCTGAAACCAAGACACCTTCGGTATGTACACGTCATCGGTACCAGCACCACTCTTCTTCGAGGACGCTATTTTGGCTGCCTCCCTAGAGTACATGATTCGCACACTTTTTATTTTTGTTTTCAGCTCACTAATAGAAAGATGCAGCTGCAATTCTGAAATCATCGCATTTAGTGCAGCTGTCCGAAACGAGTGGTTTCTGTACAGCTTGTTCCGGGGATCCCACAAACATGGGTGCTGCTCGTAGCACTCCAAAAACTTTATTATGTCAATTTTATTCATTTTTTAATAATCACACTTGAAAAGAAATGGTTTTGTGTATTTAAAGTTGTGTTCCTGTACTTTTCGACCAAAATCATGTTTAAATGCAAATCTGCGCGTAAGGGAACAAACCCACACAGGGTTGCACGTAAAAAAAGTTGAACGGGCTCAATGTTGGCTGGCGACCAACTTTTTTGAAAGCGATTAGTCGAAAGGCCGTTTACACCAGGCGATTGTTGTTTTCAACTAAAAATCGTCTGAAAAATCGCCTCATGTAAATTCCCTATTAGAGCGAGAAGTTGCCAACTGATAACACCTGTATTATTGCATCATGGGTTAGGTTGATGTGTTTATGTGTTGGTGTTGGTGTGCCGTGGAGGTGGTCCGGTTTACGTAGCATGGGGCCACGTACGACGGATGCGAACAACGTTTGAAGGATTTCGCCAACCTAAACGGGGTTAGATCACCGAAACATATAGATTTACGTTCTTTGAATAAAGAAATAAAATTCGCATCGCCGTTTGCAAACAAAATTAACGCTATATTTTACAAATTGCACTTGTTATATGCATAAAACCGCAAAATCCGTCGGAAAAAAATTCATTAAAAATTAACGCGATTTTTTAGCCGCTTCAAACTTGATATTGTTTCACTAGAATTAAAAAACCGATCTATCTGCGTACTCAAAAATCTGCGCAGACTAAAAGGGTTAAATTTTGAAGAAAATTCGTTGAATTTTTCTAAGTTCTGTACAAGATTTGAAAGTTTGACTTCATGTGGTTTTAATTAAAGCCTGAACCATATTTTTATAAAAAAAATAAAAAAATTTAACTAGAAAAACATTGCAAATATTAAAAAAAAACACCAATCACTCACTTTTGATTGCTAGTGTATCTCAAGCAGAGATCGAAAATAACCGTCACCAAGTGTCTCGTATAGTGTTTACCACTGAACACTCATCTCTCAAGCAAAGATTGTTTCTCACCGTGGCAAGTCACCCGGTGCGATCTTTTTGTGTTTTCCGTTGTGGGTTATGCATCAACTGCTAAAATTTCCCTTGGGCAAAAACACTTCGGCAGGGACTTTTATTTTTAAGTGTCTTAATTTGTGGGTTATTATAGAACTGAAAAATATAACTGGGCGTAATAAGTGGAAGCAAACCCAGCAAAAAATGCGACTAATCCGGGATGACTCCGGGAGAAATCGCAAAGGAACATGCGACTAATACCACTTTTGATCTCTTTATATGGAATGAACTGTTCGCTTTTGTTCGAGCATGTCCTATAAAGAGACTAATTGTTCCCCTTTATACCCGAACGGGTACAAATAGCGACTAGTCACTTTAAAAAAATTTAAATTAAAATTTGCGCCAGCCGCGATTCGAACCGAGGTGCTCAGGTTTGTTAAGCGAATACTCTCTCTATGTGCCAACGACGCACATGAAATTTCATTGACTAAGTGCATACATATCATTAAATCGTTAATAGTACCCGTTAGAGATGAGTCGGGGACTAATTGATCTCCAATTATACCCGTAAGGGATGAGTCGAGACTAATTGATCCCCATTAGTACCCGTATGAGACTAGTTGCGACTAATTAATGCCCAATTGTACCCGATTCAGAGTAATCTCCGAGATTACTCTCTATCGGGTACAGTTGGGCATTAATTAGTCGCAACTAGTCTCATACGGGTACTAATGGAGATCAATTAGTCTCGACTCATCCCTTGCGGGTACCATTGTATGCAGTATACAAAACTTCAAAATTTTTACAAAAAAAGTTTCTTTTTTTAAAAGAATTTATGACCAACTGAAAGGTAATTAAATTTCCTTTATTTTAATATGTGTAACCATTCATGATTCTCAAAAATTTTGTGTTAAACAAGTCTTGGCTAACAACTTTGTATTTAACACTCGCATATGGCAGTACACAAAACTTTAAAATTTTTATAACAAAAGTGAATTTATTTAAAACAATTTATATCTAGAAGAAAAATAATAGGACTACCTTTACTGTAATTAGCATTAACAACAAGAATTTTCAACCATTTACCCAAAAAAAAGCCTTGGCTTACAACTTTGTGAACTACGTACATGTATTCTGCACTCTCACAAGGCCGTTCACAAAACATAGAAATTTTTGTAAAAAAAGTTAATTTTTTTGAAAGAATTTGTAACAAACAGAAAAGTAATTAAATTACCTTTCTTCTACTTAGCATTAACAACAAGAATTTTTAACCATTTACAAAAAAAAANATTTTTATAACAAAAGTGAATTTATTTAAAACAATTTATATCTAGAAGAAAAATAATAGGACTACCTTTACTGTAATTAGCATTAACAACAAGAATTTTCAACCATTTACCCAAAAAAAAGCCTTGGCTTACAACTTTGTGAACTACGTACATGTATTCTGCACTCTCACAAGGCCGTTCACAAAACATAGAAATTATTGTAAAAAAAGTTAATTTTTTTGAAAGAATTTGTAACAAACAGAAAAGTAATTAAATTACCTTTCTTCTACTTAGCATTAACAACAAGATTAATTCATTTCAATAGTCCAAAAATCTCGAAATAGTTCAAAAATCCCGAAGTGGTCCCGAAGATTCCGATAATCACAAAGTCTGGAAAATCATGGATTAGTCCCGAGGATCCGAAAATCCCAAAGTAGTCTCGAAAATCCCGAAACAGTCCAAAAGTCCCGAAGTATTGCCGAATGTTCCGATAATCCCGAAGAAGTCTCGAAAATCCCGGATTGGTCCCGAGGATCCCAAAGTAGTCTCGAAAATCCCGAAGTAGTCCCGAAGATTCCGAAAATCCCGACGAAGTCTCGAAAATTCCAAATTGGTTCCGCGGATCCCAAAGTAGTCTCGAAAATCCCGAAATACTCAAAAAATACCGAAACAGTCCGAAAACCTCGAAGTACTCCCGAGGATTCCGAAAATCCTCAAGAAGTCTCGAAAACCCGAATCAGTCCCAAAAATCACGAAGATTTTCGTTGAACTGGAAGTTGGAAGATAATTGAATATCTTATTTGCGTTGCATCACAAAAGTATTATTTACAAATCAAATAAAAAATTTGTATATCTTATTTTGTTGACAAATCGAATCACAAATAAATTTTATTTTTTATTTGGTCAACAAACCAAATCACAAATCAAATATATTTCTTAATTGATAGCGGATTTTAAATCAATAAGGATTTAAAAGCACGCAACCCTGCCACCGCATGACCATGACGTTGTTATATCTCTCTCTCTCTCTATCAACAGCAAATTTGATATGTTTCTACGCACTTCTACGGTACCCTGCGTACACGTTCGTGGGTAACCGCGCTCTAACACTTACTTTTCCTACGACCTAAACGGGGTTAGATCGCCGAAACAACAGCCCTTGGTCGGGTAAAACCCGAGTCATTCCGGTACGTAGAACCGGCTGTCGTGTGAATGTTTACCCCGTTTAGGTCGGCGAAGTATCTCAGAAGTTGTTCGTCCATAGGGCTACATTCGCTACGTTTTCTCCTACTCAGGGCTGGCATCGAGTCAAACCCAGGGCCAGAAACCTACACCTGCTGTGTATGCCAGAGACGACTATACCATAACTCCACCTCTGTCAAGTGCAATGCTTGCGAGGGGTGGTGTCACCTCAGAGTCTGCTCAGGACTACGGACACATCGGCAGTGGACCACGTAGTATGTGGCCCCCTGCTGCTCAAACAGAGCAGCCTCCACGGCAAACCTCAGTCCACCAGAGCAGCCTCACACAGTCACCACAGCATAACAACATAATAACACCACAGACCATACCACAGCCACGACAGACCAAAGAACACACACAGCCGCACCACCACCCAGACGCCGCCGCCAACAACTCCTGGTTCCTCCTACAATCTGCACGGTATGTCAGACCAGGATATTCCGTAATGTCACATCAGTCAAGTGCAACACCTGCCTTGGCTGGTGCCACTTTAGGGCATGCTCAGGTCTGCGTACCATGCGAGACTGGACGAGGAACTTCGAAGGCCCGTGTTGCGCTGCTCGGTCGCAGACCCCAACTGCGACGCCTCCCGCCACCACCACAGGGCGGCAACCATCACAGCAGCGCACACAGCCAACGGCAGTAAGAACACACACATCCCTTACACCCCACATCACAACACGTCTCCCGAACCACATGAAGCTCCTTCAATTTAACTGTAACGGGCTACAGAGCAAGATTGAGGAGATAACCGTCTTTATGTGTCGGCATGGTATATTGATAGCTGCGGTCCAAGAGACGAAGTTGCACAGCAATTCAACATTTTTGTATTGTGCCGGGTACAACGTGCACCGTCGAGATCGCGAGCGAGATAATGGTGGTGGCTTAGCGTTTATCACGCACCACACAGTATCGTCTTATCGAAGCAGACATCGACCGCAGGGATACCACCCTAGAATGTCAGGGCATTGCTATCCGGTCAGGCGATGTCGAGCTCGAAATATTTAACATATACATACCCCCTGTCACCTGCTGCCCGGCAGGATATCACCCTGATATAGGTGATTTTAATGCGCATCACGATCTTTGGCATTCAAGCCTGTCAAACGATCGTAGGGGAACAGAATTGGCTGAGCAGATAGACGATTCGACATTCTGCACAATGAACGACGACGCACCCACCAGAATTATGGGTAACTGCAGCAGCTCGCCAGACATCACCATAGTCAGCGCTGGTCTGATAAACAGCATAACATGCGACCTATGCTGACTTTAGCATCAGACCATCTACCCATAGTCATCTCGATAGATAAACCAACCGACTTTGCCTCCGCTAAACACCGGACCTATATCAACTTCTCTAAAGCTGATTGGAAAGGTTACGCGGAGTTTACTGAAAACACCTTCACTGCGCTTCCCACACCAACCGACGTCCATCTCGGTGAACGTAAGTTCCGCAGGGCTGTCACTGCTGCTGCAGCTCGCTTCATACCGGCAGGATGTATAACGGACCCACGTCCAAACTTCCCTGCCGAAGCGGCTGTTCTAGCCGATGAGCGCGACAGCCTTCGTCAGGCCGATCACGAAGATCCCCGTATTAGGGATCTCAACGCGGAGATTCGGCAACTAGTAAACGTACATAAGCGGAAGAAGTGGGAGGAACATCTGAAGACCTGTAACTTCGCCTCTGGTGTGAGTAAGCTTTGGTCAACCGTGAGGTCACTGTCCAATCCGACGAAGCACGACGA